AATATATTTATATATTTATATATATATATCGAAATATACAGTGTTTAATTTTAGCTTGATATCGCATGTGTATTTTTTTTTCTTCTTTTTTTTATATATTAAAAATTCACACTTCGTCAATATATTCGTACATTTCTTACAATTCTTCTTAATCATGTATACATTTCATGTATTTATGTATGTACATATAAACAGGTTGAGATCAAAATGAACTTTTTCATCAAAATTAAATTTTAAATAAACTATTCTTTTTTTTATATTAATTTTTTCGCATAAATTGTTCTCAAATAAGTATCCATTAAGTTCAATGCACAACTCAATAACGTTCAATTATTAATTTACAACTGTAATCGCATATAATTGTATGAACAACAAATAACTTATTGTAAACGAATTTTCGTACAAATCAAATTATTTTATCTCATCCTGTATGTACATGCATATAAATGTTCTTTTTCGTTCATATTTTCTTTTAAAAAGTATACAGTATTCTCGATACAGTCATACACCGACGATAACAACAAAATAAAAAAACATCCAGATCGTTTGTCGATTAGGAGAACAAGAAAAGAAAAAAACAAAAAAAACTCGAAATAAAATTTAGAAAATAAAAACAATAAAATATCCATATAATATACTCGTGCAATTTTGACAATTACGTAACAGTATACAATTTGTTTTCTACCTCTTTCTCACTATTTTTTTTTTCTTTTTATTACTTCACACATACATTCTCACTTTTTTCTTTATCCTGCATACTATTCGTATAAAGCCCAATTTTTTTTTTATTTCCATTCCATAATCTAAATGATTTTCATGATTTTTTTTTTTACAATATCGTATAATTTTCTTGACGCACTTCTCACTAATTTACATTACAATAATTTGTTTCTTTTTTATGCTTTTTTCTCCCTTTTTTTTTTAATATCATAATTTCATAAAAACAATTACTATAAGAAAGCGTTTCATTTTTTTTTTTTTAACAAGAATAATGATTAAAATAAGACACTATATTATGTAATAGTGATATATCTAATTGTTCATTTTCTTGTTTTTATTTTTTACTTAAAAAATCAACGCTAAGTTCTCTTGTAAAATACAAAATGGTTTTTCTTTTTAACTTTTTTATTTTCACCAGATAAAAACTTTTTATAATTCGTTTTTTCTCTCTTTCTTTCTTTTTTTTCTTCTAAAATTGACTGCACATTCGAAAAATCGTCTACGATTTCTATAAATCTGCGTGTGCATGCAGAAACCTGATATGTGATATTTTTTTATTTTATATATAATATATATATAGATATATAGACATATTGGAAAAATATATTATTTTTTAACGCTATATCCATTACTTCGATCTCATTCATTTTAGAATATATTTCTATGAAAACTTTATAACAAGTTTCAATTAAATTTCATTAAATCAAATCAAATAAATAATCATACAAGCATATAATTAGATTCTAATAAAATATACAAATTGATTGTATAAATCAAATTATTTGTTGATGTTTCAACAAATTAGTTAAATTACTTATCAAGTTCTTGCATGCACCCGACAGAGAGATATTACTTTAAAAACGAGTTAAAAACACAAAATAAATCTCACCATGATGAAAAAAATCATTTTCTTCTAGATTCTGTAAACACGAGAGTATAATTTTTTATTTTTTTTGTTAAATAAAACAAATAAATTCTATAATTCATTTCTATTAATATTTTATCACATTTTCATTATTAAAATGAACGTATTATCATTATCATGATTATAAAATAATTTTTATAACAAAACAAAAACGAAACAAAACTAAAATCAAAATCTAATAAAAATTGGTAAATTTACCAATTAATTAAATTTGTGTGTATGTCTGCCTAGCACGAAAAATATTCATCCAATTCAACAAAATATTAAAATAATTTTATTAAAAAAAAAAAAAAAAAAAATGAATATAAATAAAAATATTTGTTAAAAATTTCCAAAATTCTCATTGAGGTTATTTATAAAAATTCTTTCATGCGCTCGACACAGAGAGAAATTACTTTACACGCGTTCAAATCACCTAAAAAATATCACCGACATTCAAATCATTTCTTCTAATTTTCACAGTCACAATTGTGGTAGTTTCAAAAGAAAATCAAAAATTCTCTATTTCTTCCTAACTCATCACTTATTTCGTTTTAAGTATTGAAACGAGATCATCATCATCATTATCATCATCATTATCATCATTATCATTATCATTATCATCATCGTTATCATAATGATGATTATAAAAACATGTTTATAATAAAAAAAAAAAAAATCAATCAAAAAATCGTACGAATCTCGTATAATTATATATAATACAAATCTCCATTATATGAAAAACTTCAGAATAAAAAGTGCTCAATATGAAATAATTTTTCACATAATAAAACAACAAAATAGTATGTTAAATAACATTCGATCTTTTAATAAATCGAGACAAAAAGAAATAAAACAAATAAAAAGAATCAACCTAATCAAAAGTAATATTCAATAATTAATTACGTTTGTGTGTATAAGGCGTATTCATATAATGGAAGTTGTATACTGTATATATAAAAACTTATATGCGAGAAAACGCATATCATAAACATCCAATTCTCATTAAAGGTGAATTTAATATGCATACAAAAAATCTAACGAAGGATCGATGACTTATTTTCTTCTTTTTCTTCTTCTTCTTCTTTTTTCATTCGTCTCACTTGATTTCATTTCTTTTTATTTAATCAATTTTGTTTTTTTAAACGAGAGACCATAATAAATACGATATTATACTGATTTACAAAAGTCTCTGATTACTATAACGTGCACTCTCTCTCTCTCTCTCTCTTTCTTATTTCAATCATCGAATCGAAATTAAATATTTTTATTACCCCTTTCTCAGACAAATTAGCAACACGGGTTTATTGTGCCGATTAAACACGTGTTACGTGATCCATTTTTTTTAAAACTAGCTCAAAAGTTTACAATCGTGAATCGTATTATTTTTTTTTCTTCGATATTCTCGATCATTTACACTGATCAATAACAAATCTTGCAGTGTATTTGATGAACGAATCACTCTTTCTCTTCTAATTAATATTATTATTATTATTTTCTTTAAAAATCACAGCTTTAGCTGATTTTCTTGGACCATTGGAAAATCAATTCAGTTGTTCCCAATGGAGTAAATAATTTTATGACAATATGTGTAGACTACAGTATGGTTGTTTTCGATATTAATGAAATTAAATCTGCAGACAATCCAATTTTCTGGAGATATCTTATAAGGTTTTTAGATATTAAACTTTCATCTGAGATAACTATAGGGACAACTTCAATTTTTTCAACTCGCCAAATGTGTATTATTTCTCAAGGCTTGGTTTTCGTACTTGATTTTCTTTTCACCCTATGTCTTTACAACATTTTGTGATATACAGACTATTATATCTATTATCATTGCTTTCTTCTTAGATTTCATTATTATTATTCGATTCAGATTTCTCAACATGGAGCCTGTGATACTGAGAATCGTACGGACATGCATCAAATACGGCCCTTTTATGAAACGTTTAGTTTTACGATCAGATTTTTTTTATTTGTTATTGGTATCTACAGACGTATCGTCTGTATTCAAAAACTTTCTCATAAAATGACATGTTTCTAGGACCACCCCTTTTTTGAGTTGTTCGTATGTAAATATCAAGATGTTTATGATTTTCAAGACGGTCAATAATTGTTTCGGTATAACGACCGTTACAAAAATGACAAGGGGAATAATTTTTACTTCATCTAACTTTCTATAGTCGTCTTTTGATCCCTGCTGCCAGTTCTGTATATTTCCTGAATATTTCTTTAATTGTTTTCTCCACATTGTTAATATTTGGGATCGCGACGTCTACATAATATACCACCTTTATTAACCGTTTATTAATCATCGTCATGACCGGTCTGTTATTATTATTATTATTATTATTATTATTAATATTAATATTATTATTATTATTCTTAATATTATTATTATATTATTATTATTAATATTATTATTATTCTTGTTATTGTTTTATAGTTGTTATGCTCAGATCTTCAAATCGAGCTTTCTCTATTTTCTTATTCTTCTTCCTCACCACAAAAACAGACTATGTACTCTTGATGTGCACATATTTTGGAGCAAGTAGATTTTTTTCTCGTTAATTCCATTTTTCGGTATCACGTATTTAACATATTAACTATTTATGTTTATAGATTTTAACTTCCTGGACAAAATAATAATCTCACGTATATGTTCTGCTATCTTTCATTTCTTTAGAACAACATAGAATATATTTCTAGATATATAGTAAATATTGTATAAATGTCACGACGTAAAAAAAGAAGGAATCAAAAGGAAACGGAAGAAAGATACAAATGTTAAAAACGACATAATAGTATACTTGAACTTTTTGTTAATACTTCCAACGATCTAAATGTTACGTTTACTCAAATAAGTTTTGATATAGGTCGTAAAAGGAAATTGATTGAAGAAACCAAGATTACAAGAATATTTTCTTCTTTTTACGTCGTAACATTTATCCTCTATTAACTATATTATTAAACATTCAAAATTTGTCTTCAATAAATTAAATACAATACACATTCGTTATCATTTTGTCCGTGATTTTTATACGTTTTTCATTTCTTCTTCTTTTTCTTGTCTCACACTAACTGTTGTAACGTTGTTTCTTCACTGTGTTGTTTTGTAAATCCCGGTAATGTGAGGTGATATATATATATATATATATTTAATTACAATCGACGACGTAAAAGGGAAATGAAAAACTGACCCGATTAACAACAACAACGACGACGACGACGAAGACGACGACGATGATGATAACGACGATACGATAAGAAAAAGAACTTCGTAATCATCCTTATTATTTTTTTTTTGTCTTCATTTCTTTCTTTCTTTCTTTTCTTCTTGATTTTTGTTTCTTCCTTGTTTTTATTTCTTTCAGTAACTCGATAATTTTATATTTTTTTTTATTTTTTTTTAGGACATCGATGAACATGGTAAACGTGGCGAACCCATTTGCGTGAGTACCCTATCCAACCATTGCAAAGGACCGTTCAAATGTAACTCGATCCAACAAGGTGTAGAAGTTACTGTCTGTCTTCGATATTCCGCGCCCCAACCCTTAACAAAACTCATTCTGATCGTACACATACGCGTTAATTGATATACCGCTTCGAAACCTTGCGACACAGATTGCGACAATAGTGCCGCAAATTCTTGATTGTTGAAGATCTTCAAATTACAGCCTGTAATTAAAAAAACAAACATATTTTTACAATTTTTGTTTTTATTCTAAAACGTTCAGATACCACATGAGAAACTAACAGTCTACTTTATAATTTGATTTATTTCATTTGCCGTACATGTGAATTTGCATTCATTTGCAACCCACGTGGTTTAAAATGTGATAAAATCAACGAAAATTAATTCGACATTGAATAACTTTGTTAATGAATTTAATTTTTCATTAAAATTTGTGTCAAATGATCCACGTACTGTTATTTTCCATTCAAATAATTAAAAATATTTTTATACTTGAGTCATATAAAAAATTCATGCGACCTAAACGAACAATGATCAAAACTCAATTGATCATTGAAATATTTTTCTTTTCTTTAGTTGAATAGTTTGTTTTATTTGGAATGAACTTACCAGGTGGTATTTTGCATACGGTTGCAGGATGCCAACCATAACGTTGATTGCAATTTGGACTTTGAACGAAGATGCTAGAATCTGATAGACACTCCGCAAAGACTTCGCCACCGATATAGTAAAGTCTAACACCTTTACCGATGTGTCGTCTTGTCTGTTCCACCACGGTATTACGATTAACGTTCGAAAGCAAACCGAGACAAAAGCGTTCGGAATTACTTGGATCCGTAAAACCATCCACTGTGATACTTGGTTGTGAGGCATGAAACGTCTCGCCTACTCTTGTATTTAGCTCGTAATAACTTATTGAACACCTACATTAATCAAATTCAAATATTAATATATTTTTTTTTGTCAAATTATTCAATTGTTAATTGTTCAATTTATAAATAATGTTGGAATTTTATAATATGTTTTTCAGATATTCTACTCGAATTTTTTCTAACTGCAAGTACGTGTTGTGTGTCAACACTTTTTATTGTGCAATATTTTTTTCTAACAAAATTACTGTATTTTATCAATTCAATCATTGTTAATTTAAATAAATTATTAATACTTTTAACACAGATATTTTCGAAATGAAAAGAAATAATACTAAACTAAGTGAAAACAAATTCCAACATTATATGATAATAATAATAATAATTGAATGAATTTTCTACGAAATTGGATGACGTAATTTTGACGAATAGATAGATCCATGTGATCTATTAAATGTAATTGATCATGCCAATATCAAAGAAAGATAGAAACAGAGAGGATAAATATGCTAATGAAATTTACCAGAAAGCTGGCTCGCAGTACATAACGGGCTGGGCATCTACAGGACTTGGTGATAAGCGGGACAAAGACATATTATCGTTGTGATCCATATTATCGCCGTCTTCACTGATATAACCAGGTGGTGGTGTATCAGCTGGAGGATCCAGAGACCCCGACGTTGGATGAGGTGAACCCTGTACACTTCCTAGACTCCCAACACTCGCCGGACTCGTTGCCTGCATACTCTAATAAAACAATAAACAATTAATCATTTATTAACAGATTATTCATAACAATGATATATAATCTATAAACAAAAAATAATTAATTTTTTAAAAATACGTACACCTTATAATGTAATATAATAATATAATTGTTTTAATATACAATTTTGGATTAGCACAGAGCAAACGTTTCAATCTTTAATTTATTTCATAGCACAATTTGATTTAATGATCTAATCATCTTCAACATCCTTCGTATCTTTACATTTATATAGACTAAACCGATCCGTTACCTTCTAAATTTGAATCATACGGTTATTGCCTAATCTCAACTAGACTGTAACTGTAGATTGAATACAATCATCTATCAATATTTATATAATAAGATTCGAAACTCAGACGTGAAATGAGAATATTTTTCTTGCTCTTATTTCTTTTTACAATAATTAGAATTATATAATCAAAATTATTCTACAGATATTAAACTCTTAAGTTCGATTAGTTTAATAAACTTTGACTAATTATCATAGTGATCTATAATATCTAGAAACAATATTTGTACAATAAATTTAGTACAGAACCAATTTATGAATATATACAAAAATTATTTAGATTAATAATTTAATTCTTATAATACCTGAAAGAACCAGTTACTGTGATATAATCAACGTGTTTGCTCAATTGAGTATTTTTTTTTATATGATATAAATTGCTAAATTCAAAGACCAAAGTTCATATTACACCAATTCCTCTTGACCATATTCTCATTTGCACATTTTACAATATAATAGAAAAACAAAAAAACCAACAGATATATGAGTACATAAAGTTTCTCGCATGATGTAAAACATTATTCTATTATAACAACATATAATCAAGAGTAGTTCGTTTCTTGCACATGCAACTTCATTAAATTAAAAAAACATCCTTGTTACATACAAAAATTACCTGCATTCCTTGGTACGGATTATTCGGTTGCTGTTGTTGTTGTTGTTGCTGCTGTTGTTGTTGCTGTTGTTGTTGCTGCTGCTGCTGTTGTTGTTGTTGTTGTTGTTGCTGTTGTTGTTGTTGTTGTTGCTGTTGCTGCTGCTGTTGAGGCGATTGCGGTATATTTTGTTGATTGTGATGCTGATGATTCAACGTCGCGTGGAAATTCGTGTTTTCCGGTACGCTGACGCTCAGCTCCTCGAGGGAGGTGTTGTACAGAACGCTCTCGTCCCCGGCTAGGTTGTGCCGCGGCACGAGAATGGCCGGCAAAACTGCAAAGTTTCGTGCAATCGATATAGTCACGCGATCACAACTGGTTATCGCTCGTGACGCTCGATTTAACCGGCTGCTGGGAGCAACAAGGAGGAGGGAACAATTTCTAAATAAAAAAAAAATTAAATAAAAAAAAAAAATAAAAGAAATATATGATAAATCCTATCAAATATAAAATTTTGTTAGGCTCAATTTTGTCCTCCTTTATTTTCTCTTTTCTTTTTCTTCTTCTATATAAATTTATTTATCATATTTATTTTTAAAGGGTCGCTCTGATTATTTGGCTCAATATTTTTGTCAACATTTAACATCATTTATAATTATTTCTTTTTTTTTTTTTTATTAAAATAATTTATGAACGAGTTTTTTCTTTTTCTTAATCATATTTTCTGTGTATCGTCGAATATTTTTTTTTCTAATTAATATTATATATCTTATTTTCCTTTTGATGTTACGAAATCAACGTTATCGTTATTACAAATCCATAATCGATATAATAATACGTGTGAACTATCGATTAGAGATAAATAGAATTACGGATATCGTACTTGGATTATTTGAAATATTCGATGCACGTCGAGGACCTTTCAATGATCTCTCTCTCTCTCTCCTCTCTCTCTCTCTCTCTCTTCCTCTCAAATTATTAGTATGTATATGTTATTGATATGTTTGTTGAATTTATTAAATTAGTCGGATATTAACACAATTCAATAATTATCATTATTCGGTATATTTAATTTATAAATAAATCATGTTATATACAGAACTTGAGAGAAATTATATTAATTAATCTTGATTTTAAAACAAATATATATATATATATAATGATTATTATAAATTTAAATATTCCTAACACGTTGAAGTTCATTTTAATATGTTGAATTTTTGATTGAAGTTTGACTAAAAAAATAATCAATAAGAATAAATAATTCACATGTTTGAACACGTTGAACATTTAATATCTTTAATAATTGTTTGAAGATAAAAAAAAACATACACACACACACACACACAAGAAAAAATTATTATCATGTTCATTATTTTAATTAATTTTTCTACTCTTATAAGAAAACTATAAAAGATTAAATTTCTGAAAGATAAAATGAACAACCATTGGATATTTGACTTTTGTTGAAACATTCTAATTGAAAACAAATGAGAAATCAAATGAAATATTAGATATCAAAGTTATCAAAAAATAATGTTTGAATGATGTAATCTTATATAACCAACCTGGAGTTTGTATTCGTTGATAATGATAAGGATTGACGCAAACCTCGTCCCTCTTTTGCGTGAAAGCGTATTCACAATGCTCGATCGCCCTTAACTCGTGGTGTGATTGTAAATCTGGCCAACGCCAGAGACGACAATAGATCACGTGGGGGAGACCCTTACCTCGGACACCTTGGACCCCGTTGTCGCCCACGCCACCCGGGCTAGGCCTAAAAACATAACATTCATTTCAAAATTAACATTTATATATAAATTGTTAATAAAATTATAAATCAAATTTAAAATTTTTAATGATATTGTGTCGAACAAAAAAAAAACCAAAAAATGTAATTTAAAAAATTTGGACAATTTTTAGAAACATTGTAAAAATGGAGAAGAATTATTTTATATAGGATGGAAATAAATTTTGTACAAAAAATAAATTTAAAAATTTAAATACTAAAATTAAAATTAAGAAATAAAATTAAAAAAAAATAAAATAAAATAAAAAACTAAAATTAAAATTAAAAAATATGATCGTGATAATATAGAAAAATTACGATGCAAGATCGAAGATCCAAGTTTGACATTTTTAAATAACCACGTGAGCTCAATTTTGGAAGATTACATTCAATGTTGTAAACATTTTGTTTCTACGATAAAAATATAAATTAAAAAATTTCAAGAAATTTCTTAGAAAATGATTTAAAGATTTTATAAATCGATGAGGATCGGACATCGTATCGAAGATTCATCGACGAACAGCATCGATTCTTTCAATGATGTTTCCGTCAAGGTACACGCGTTGTGTCATAGCCTTGGCTTTTTCACTCATACGTGTCCATTCTTTCTCTCTTTTTCTCTCTCTTGAAATATCTATTTCTCTATTTCTTTCAAACAAGGACCTACTTTTGCGTACAAACACACACACACACACACACACACACAAAGAGACCAACATAAATCACATTGGTGCACTCTCAATCATGGTTTCACTACTGCGTTCAGTTACATAATAATTCAGAAACATTCTAACAGAATTTATACGCCAATTTCGTGCGCATCGATCGACTCTCTTTCTCTTTTTCTTTTGCTTACTTTCTCTCTTTCTCTTTTATCTGCCCCCCCCCCCCCAACAAGCAAYGTGATTCCGTTCGATATATCCTATTAATTCTCGATTCGTTTAAAACTTGGATAGAAAATCATTGTATTTCATTTTTTGTGTGTGTGCTTAATAATTGCCATAAATATTAATCAATACAAATGTAACCAATTATTGAAATTTCTATTATTTGATTTTATTTAAAAATTAAAGTAATATTTATCAAATACTTTTTTCCCTCAGTATTTCAAATTAATTAACTTAAAATTAATGCCAAACATTATTGGGAATTTTTTATTAATTGCCTATTACTTCATTGTGATATATCATTTTGTTTTTTTTTTAATATTTGTAATCGATATTTTAATTAATTGAAACCCATTTGTTTAACGAAATACTAATAAAAGAAGTATAAAAAAATATTTTTTTAAATTGACCACGTATATAATGTATTATTGTAAAATAATTAAATTCATTGTCATTGTTTGATATTACAACCTCGATTAATTTTACACCAACTTAATGTAACTGTGAATAAAAATAAAAACAAAATGAAACATCATGAATTAGCAATAAATATTTACATAAAGAAAGAAAAGAGAAATAAATATAAAAAAGAATCTATTCAAGATCTTTGTACGTCGAAAGGATTTCAAAAGCGTATCCTGTGAGTACCGAGAAATAAAAAATGATTTCTAACTGTGTCGAGCATTACGTAAGGACTCAAGTATTACTCGTGACACTTATGTACTATATATATATATATGTATTTACTTACATACGTATATACACGATTCGTCGTTTTATATCTTAATAAAATAAATTCGATTTTTCAAACTTCTCTTAAAAATTTTTCATCACAAAATTCATGCCGAACTATATCCCGTTCGTTGGGTTTTAAACAAAATTTATTTAACTGATTATTTCATAGATTACTTTAATCTTTATAGAAAAAGGTAAAAATAAAATTTACATTAAATTTACATAAACACGGATAATTTTATAATATTAATAAATTCAAATAAAGATAACCGAAGGAAAGGAGGCCCTTGAAATTAAAACAAATTCAAAAAATGAATTTAATATTTAATTTTTTGAAAACTTTTATATAAAATAATTTTTACGATCAATAATAAAATTGACTGTTTCGAGTATGAATCATAATATGATAGCGAAAAAAATTTCACGTTTATTTAATAACAAGTTTCGCAAATAATTGCATTAAAATTACGTGTTAATCATTCACCTTTTTTTTTTTCTTTTTTTTTTCTTTCTCTCTCTCTATTACATTATTTTATCCGTGTGTAATAAGAAATCTATAATGTAATGGACTATCTATTACAACATACAATCTTTTCTATTTCTAATCGTATGCTATTTCGCATTTCTATTTTTAAAACATATATTACATGAGATAACTTATTGTTAGTGATAATGCTTCAATATTTACGTGCATGTATTATACCAACTGGCAAATACAAATTCGATAATAAAATATATTTAAAAATACATTTGCAAAAATTTATGTTCTTTTTTTTTATTATTTAAAAAATTCCATAAAAAAATAATGTAAAATAAAAAAAATAACAAAATCTATACAACGATATTTCAACATAACACGTTGAGGAGTTGTAATAAATACAAATGTGACAATAATATTAATATTTTATTAATTATCAACGAGAGAGAGAGAGAGAGAGAGAGAGAGAAAGAAATTATTTAGACAAAATATTAAATAACAATTACAAAATTTAAGAGGAATAGATTGAAATTTTTTTGTTGTACTATTTTATATTCACGGAATTGTAACGTCAAAATAAAAAAAAAATAAAAGGTTGTAGATATTCCTTCCACAATTTTATTATTCATCCTGCTGACGCATCGTAGTCGGACGATTCTCCGTGTCGAGGACAACGGACAACGACGACGGGTTAGAATTCACCCGTTGAGAATTCCGTCCACGCGTGTATTAAACGAGAAACGCGAGTTAAATCATCTTTAATCGACGATGCGCGTTGTCGTATTATAAAATATACACACGTGTATGTGTAATATGAATATAAAATGAGCCGATGTACTGTGTATCTCACTTTAAAGAAAATTATTTATTTATTTACTTTTTTGTTTTTCATTTTTTTTTTTTTTTTTTTAAATCAAACTTAATTTGTTTTCACACGTATACACAAAATTGAAATAAAAATCGTAGTTAAAGAAAAAAAACTTGTTTCTTTAAAAATCTTGAATATAAAATGTAATTAATCACGTGAGTTCATACGTTATAAAAAAAAAAAAAGAAAAAAAAAAAGAAAAAGTTAGATCAACGAAATCAAATTAGTCGTTGCTAACGAACTGCAACATTTTTAAAGGAAACCATTTTTTTTTAATCTGAAATTTGTTTTGAACACTATTTCCTTTTATTCATATCCAATAAAAATAAAAATCATCTATCTATCAACACAAATTTACATATATATATAAAATGTTATCACATTGGCGTGAGTTTTGATAAAAACAAAACATAAAATTAAAAATGTTAATCGTAAAAAAAGATCAACAAAAGAATCGATTTAGGTGTTCGAATTCGTTAGTAGTAAAGAGGAACGATATCCTGTGAATAACCGAAGGAAGTAAGATTGTTATCAGTAGATAGGTGGTGTTGGTCGTCAGCTGGTGTTGGTAGCTGGACGAATGATAAGAGTCCGAGTAGTAGTCATGTTGTGTAAAAGGAAGAAAGAGAACTCGAGAAAAAGGCCGGGTCGATAAGAGCACGACGCCTCGAGAAACGTATATAATACTTGCACACATAACTTGCTACGATAATTCTCTGTCTATTTCTCTCTCTCTCTCTCTTTCTCTTTATCTATCTTTCTTTTTCACTTTTTAAAAGGTAATGTAAAATTACACGATTCACGTTCGCGTCTGCATAAATTACAAATCGTCGTCCTTGCAACGACGACACAACGAAAAACGATGACGATGACGATGACGATAACTATGATTCTACGATTTGTATTTTATTATTTTTATCTTATTAACAGCTAGTATTATTTCTTGTATAAACGGGGATAATCGTTCAGAATAGAGTTAACTTTAATTATTCGTAGAATAATGACGAACGTGGACGATAAAGTAAATTGAATGATATGAGAATTGTTTTTTTTTTCTATTTTTAAATCTATGAACATTTTTCGAAATCTTTCCTCTTCTCTGTTTTACTGCTGGTTTTCTCTCTCTCTCTCTCTCTCTCGAGATAAAATTGCATAATCAAAGTTTCTCGTCGACTGCATAAATTGTATTCGACGAGTTGGCAAGGATGCGGATTCTCCGATTTTTCTTTTTATTTTTTTTTTTTTGGTTGTATTCGCAGCTATTACTATCTAAAGTATTTACTGTATAAATGAGAGTAATCAATTATAACGGTACATATTTCTATTATTCGTAAGAGGAAAACGTAGACGATAAATAAATTCAATGTGATCCTATGAACTGTTTATGTTTATTCAATTTGCCACATCTTTTTTTTTTCTACACGATAAAACACCTTTATACAGAATAATATTCTAAAAAGATATCGGTGTAAAGTCAACTTATGATAATTCTTTTTATCTTTTCAAAATATTCGTAAAATGTTATTCAGTATTTTCAATATTGCATTAAAATATTATACATATATTATAGTTAAAAAATAATAGTTTAAAGTACATTCAAAATATAATTGTTATTATTATTATTATTATTATTATTATTATTATTATATATATTATTATCTCAAACTTTCTTAATTCAAGATCCTAAATATAGATGAAGGTGTATAAACGAAGAATACGAGTTAAAACATTCGTTGATAATAAACCGCATAAAGAAAATTTATTCATAAAACAATACTTTAGTATACAAATGAAAATATAATTTTATCATTTATTAAAAAACAAAGCTATATATATTTTATATATAATTATTTTTTAAATATATTTTATATATATA